TTCGAAAGCACATCAAAGTGCAAGTAGATAAATAGGTACTGCTCCGGTGGGAAGGTAAACGGTGTTTCTGTGCGCTGCTCTGGTTTGCCAGAAGCGGCTTAGTCATGCTGGCCACATGACCCGGAAGCTGTACGCCAGCTCTCTCGGCCAATAAAGCGAGATGAGCGCCGCAACCCCAGAGTCGGTCACGACTGGACCTAATGGTCAGGGGTCCCTTTACCTTACTAACCAGTTGAGGCAGGTAGGTCCTACCCATTTGTCTTCCAGCACAGAGCCACTTCCTTTGTTACCCCAGGACCTAAATTTAGGGGACCATTACCAAGAAGCTGGCCTGGCTACTTCAATCCTCCATTGGGTTTTAACCCTTGCCGGTGTCCTCACCCCCGCCACAACTTACAACAATACTATTGTGTTGAAGAAAAGTCTCATGACACCTTAACAGACTGTATTCACAAACTATCCTATTTTACCCTCCCAGACAGATAAGCAATAGTAAAAATGATGATCCTACCAAAACTGATGTATCTACTCTATAGTTGCACAGCTCCAGAGTCTAAATGCCAGCCAATGCATTATGGTTCTTTCTCATGGGTTTTGCATCTGTACTATTCACACACCTAGCTGCAGTTCTCACAAACCATGCAGAAGCTGCTGTCTGTCTGTCTTCAATAAAACGAAGATGACAAATTCAGAGAGCAGAATACTTTTCCTTGGTTGCTATTGTTGAGGAAGAGCTAATTACCTGAAAATACAGCTAAAGGATCTTCCCATGAGACTTCAAGGTGAGAAGTATGATAAGCGGTGTGCATATCATGTGAATTGCCATGTATTCCTGTTCAATCTATTTCCAAGAAACTAATTTGCCACTTAAGCGGGAGAAGTGTGAGAGGAATGAAAAGTCATTATATGCCAGCAAGTTTCCATTCACTAACAAGTGATAGTGTATTTTTTGTTGATAATTAATGCATCTTATAACCACTCTACCATTAGTGCTTTTCTTTCTTGATGAGAACAATCAATAATCTGTAGTTCTGCAATGCAACAGAATTACTAAAAAGACGGGAAACGAAGTGTTTCACATTGCAGAATAGAGAAATGTCTATGACCTACTCAAGGGAAAATAATTCTTCTCATGCTCATTTTTGCTATAGAAAGGCATGTTCATGTTTTAAAAGTCAGTTTCTGACATGTCTTACTTATGCAAACTAAAAGCTAAGGTGCAATTTAACGGATGAAACTCTTTCCTCATTGTTTAAATACATCTCCTGACTACCAGGTTTTCCCTCAAGTAAGTATGTACACATCCCAATGATTGTTTTTGTGCATCATTTCTCCCACACTCTTGCCACTGCACCATAGATGAAACAAGCCAGAGTCCAGCTTGTTGTGTCCTCTGGGCTCATGGCTTGTTCCCCCAAATAAGCCAGGAATGCCAAGTCAAGAACATACCTTGGTGTTTGGAAGAAACATACCATTTAACATTGGACAACAGAATGTCAAACTCTGACTTGCTTCATGAATGGCACAGCACTAGCAGTGGGAGAAGCACTGCAGGAACTTTTGGGCAGCTTGCATCAGTATGTTGATCATTCACATTAAACCATAGCTTATTTTAAATATAATATGATGCCTAAACCACATTTATTTTAAATTCAGGTAGGTAGCCGTGTTGGTCTGACGCAAGTAGAAATACACACACACACACACACACACACACATTCCAGGTTCCTATGCAATATTTTTCTTTACATCATTGGACTTTCCTTTCGCTGGACCATAAAGAAGGCTGACTGCCGAAGAATTGATGCTTTTGAATTATGGTGCTGGAGGAGACTCTTGAGAGTCCCATGGACTGCAAGAAGATCAAACCTATCCATTCTTAAGGAAATCAGCCCTGAGGGCTCACTGGAAGGACAGATCGTGAAGCTGAGGCTCCAATACTTTGGCCACCTCATGAGAAGAGAAGACTCCCTGGAAAAGACCCTGATGTTGGGAAAGATGGAGGGCACAAGGAGAAGGGGACTACAGAGGACGAGATGGTTGGACAGTGTTCTCGAAGCTACCAGCATGAGTTTGACCAAACTGCTGGAAGCAGTGGAAGACAGGAGTGCCTAGCGTGCTCTGGTCCATGGGGTCATGAAGACATAAATCTGACATCAGGAATCACAAAACAGAGAAACCAGTAGGAGAACAATTCAATCTCCCAGGACATTCTATACAAGATCTCAAAGTAGCTGTCTTATTACAAAAGAATTTCAGAAAGAGACTGAAAAGAGAAGTTGCTGAATTACAACTTATTACCAAACTTAAAACCATGGAGAGACCTGGTCTGAATAGAGACATTGGATTCTTATCTCACTATACGTGATAAAGCTATTTTTGGCCATCTCATCCCTTGCTTTTTCCTGTAATTGCAGTCGTTAACAGCCGTCAACAGGTTTACCACACCTATCAGCCAATCCCCCACATTCCCATCACCCTTCTGAGTAATACCCCTCCCCACCCTCTCACCATATATTAAAGGTCTGGTGACTTCTGTTTCAATGTATCTGAAGAAGTGTGCATGCACACGAAAGCTCATACCAAGAACAAACTTAGTTGGTCTCTACAGGGCTGATCGCCGAAGAATTGATGCTTTTGAATTATGGTGCTGGAGAAGACTCTTGAGAGTCCCATGGACTGCAAGAAGATCAAACACATCCATTCTTAAGGAAATCAGCCCTGAGTGCTCACTGGAAGGACAGATCATGAAGCTGAGGTTCCAGTACTTTGGCCACCTCATGAGAAGAGAAGACTCCCTGGAGAAGACACTGATGCTGGGAAAGATGGAGGGCACAAGGAGAAGGGGGCGACAGAGGACGAGATGGTTGGATAGTGTTTTTGAGGTTACCAGCATGAGTTTGACCAAACTGCGGGAGGTAGTTGTGGCGATCACACAGGCTCCCTGGACGTTTCACTGTCTATTGATCCCTGTGCCACCACTTTATTTCTCGCTGCTACCACCCAGGCCCTACCTGGTACAATACTGAGTCCAGTCAGGGTTAAATTGGAACATAAACTTCTGTTTATTTATTGCAGTTTAACAAGCGTGTGGTTTCATAAATGGTATCGGTCAATTACATTCATGGGGTGCCTATCCAGACCTATAACTTCCGCTACCTGCTCTCACTCACTAAACTACCTCTCAGATATTTACTTGTCTTCCTAAGCTCCTAACTGTTCCTGACTCAGCTTATTTCGCTACACTAACTCAACCTACCCACAGACTCTATCCCACTTCACTCCCACTCCAACCAACTACCCAACTCCCAACGAACTACCCCCTTCGCCCCTCCCAGAGCTATAGTCCCTCGGACTCCAGCCCCCTGGGTTCTGGTTCTGGTTGGGTAACCTGTTAAATATTTCACCTCCAGCACTCTCATATGTTAACGTCACAGGTGCTACTAGACATTTTTTTTATTTATATATACCTTTATTTTAAAGTCATATTTTCTATCCTGACTTATTTGCATTGGGTCAGATTGTTATAGGATTGTGATCTTTGTTTTATATTTTGCTTGGTTTCTATGGCTTGTAATCTGCCTTGTGTACAAAAGGTGGAATACGAATTAAAAGTGAAATGAAAAAATCAAATTAAATGGTTTGTATTCACTATAGTTAAAGAGCCACCTCTTATCTGAGATGTACAACAAGCAAATCCTGGTTTGATTTAGAGCAGCTTATCAATGGTTTGTGAATCTAAACATAATAGCAAAGAAATTTGATTGCTAGCTATTGGAAAGAAGGCAGCATCCCAACAAAAAGAGAATGGTTGGGAAACTTTGCGAGTACCTGGAATTAGCAAAACTGACGGATATAATAAGGAGAAAATCCAAAACTATGGTTATGAAGCAATGGGAGTTCTTAAATGATTATTTACAAAACCAGGGCTCAACTACAAAAATCTGGTTGTGTTTAGAATAATCTTGTGTGTAATATAAAAAATACAAAGTGAGACATTAAGGAAATCCAAAGGGAAAATATGAAGAACAGAGGTTCTGACGAACGGATTATTAAAAACACGTGAGGTAAACGGTGGAAGTCTTTTTTTAAAACAACAACAACAACAACAACAACAACAATTTATTTAAGGTAGATAAGGACAAGATGAAATTATACAATTGAATATAAATATAGATGGGAAACGGCTATGTATTGTGGCTACTTATCTACTTTTAAAATTTTTCACTTATGATCTTTTTCTTTTACTTCTTTATTCTTTCTTTGTTCTTTTTTCTGATATCTTATCTTTCATTTCACTGCTTTATTGTGAATAGCATTTTATAGAGGTATAAATAACTGTAAATATGAAAAGAGACAAAATATTCTCTAATTTTTTTCCCTTGGTTAGATGTATTTTCTTTTTCTTTTGTATTTTTTGTTGTGAATATGTATGTTTTCTAATTTGTACTTAATAAAAATATTTTTAAAATCTGAAGGAAAAAAAACATAATAGCAAACCAAAGCACAAATTGCAGTGTGCAAACCTGTTTCAAACCATGGTTTCAGAACCTTAAACTATGATTTCTGGGCTCAGAGTCAGATATTAAAACAAGTTATGTTTTCATGTTGTGTCTGAATCTAGCCCATTTCTAGTATTTGCTCCCTAAAGGGACCCACCAGAGCACAATTTTGTACAGTTTCAGAAGTCACATAAAAGTGATGATGTCCACATAAGCATTTGAGAATCTACACTAGTTTTATGTAAAACGTATTTCATTATTTTGTGACACTAATATTTTAAGCTATTTATATTGTTTTTGTTAACCAACTTGTGCCTCTTAAATTACAAAGTAAGCCTTTGTATCAAATAGTTATACTTGTATAAGCAGAAAAATCACCTCCTAAAAATCTACCTTTCAAATAAATATTTACTTTATTTGTACCCCTTAGTTGGCAGATTAGGTAATGGGCATTAGACATACTTCGTGAAAATTGTAGATGTGAAGCAGGCGACTTACCAGTCTTTTAATGATTCTCAGCAGAAGCTTCTGATCTTTCACTTCCTTTTTGAACTGTAGTACTTCAGCAAAGCTGTCCATATTTTCTGGAGCCATACTATCCACGTTGGCCCCACCATAGAGTTGCACTAACAAAGACAAGCACTGTGATGCGTTCACATATATTTCATTGTCGTCACTTGGAAGCTAAAAATGAAAATAGTAAATGAAATGCAAACTTTGCTGAACCAAACTTGGTTTCAGATGAAGCAGCAGAATTCACTTTCTAACTTTAAACAATTTCTGCTTACCCTAATTTTACCTTAATAAAGTGGCAATTATAATACAGTGTTTTAGAGCCCAATTATTTTACAAATATTTACTACTTGTTTCATAGCATAGATATGGATACACATGGAACGCTTCCAATTGCTTAATCACATACCCTGTCCATCCTCTTCCTTCTGAGTTGAACTTCTTTGATTTAATTCTGTATCATCATGGGCATTAACTACAGTTAAGGCTAAGGGTTCTTTCGTAAACATAATCTGAAAACTTTGGTCACAATAGGATGCTGTCCTTCCTCTGGACATGACAGGCTTTGCCTCCTCATCCAGGGAAACCTGTCGTCCTACCTTCCAGATCCAACTGGCAGAACCAATCAACCCCTCTGTCCCCATGACCTGCACTTACTAAACTTATGAAATTGCATTGCAAACCAAACACACATGCATAATACAGTCAACGACTGATTAATATGTGTCTGAATGACATGATACTGTGCATGGTGAACCAGGAAGTGACTTGAAAATGTCACTAAACACATCACTAAAAGGGTGGAACACACTTATATTCCCTCCGCAAACACGTGCAGGGGGCAGGAATGGAACCCCCGTGTGATAAAACACACACATACACACAATCCTTCTTCTTCGACGATCACTCATAGCCAAGTAAGACTGTCTTCCATAAATACGGTTTTAACAATGAGTCCGTAAGTGACTGTGGAGGCCAATTCTGGATCCACACGTCCTTCCACAGTGGGGACATTGGTTCCCGGGTGGGAGTTGATCATGGTGTGGATTTGCCAAGCGTTCCTTCCTCTTAGCATGTTTCTCCCTTACGTTCTGAGTTTGAGTGTCTTCAGAGTCCATGACACCTTTGGTAAAGGCTGTTCTCCAACAGGAGCGCTCGCAGGCCAGTGTTCCCCAGTTGTTGGTGTTTATACTACATTTTTAAGATTTGCCTTGAGACAGTCTTTAAACCTCTTTTGTTGACCACCAGCATTACGCTTTCCAGTTTTAAGTTTGGAATAGAGTAGTTGCTTTGGAAGACGATCATCAGGCATCCGCACATGACCAGTCCAACCAAGTTGATGTTGAAGAATCATTGCTTCAACACTGGTGATCTTTGCTTCATCCAGTACATTGATATTAGTTTGCCTGTCTTCCCAAGTGATGTGTAAGATTTTTCAGAGACACCGTTGATGGAATCTTTCGAGAAGTTGGAGATGGTGTTCGTAAGTGGCCCATGTTTCACAAGCACACAGTAAGGTTGGTAGTACAATAGCTTTGTAAACAAGCATTTTGGTTTCCCTGCAAATGTCCCGGTCCTCAAACACTCTGCACTTCAATCGGGAGAAAGCAGCACTTGCAGAGCTCAGGCGATGCTGGATTTCGGCATCAATGTTGACCCTTGTGGAAAGATAACTGCCTAGGTAGAAGTGATTGACATTTTCCAACATTACACCATTGAGTTGGATTTGTGGTGCTGCAGAGGGGTTATTTTGTATTTGTTGGTGCAGCACTTTGGTTTTTTGGATGTTGAGCAACAGGCCAAGCTTTTTGTAAGCTTCTGTGAAGATATTTAGGATGGTTTGGAGGTCATCCTCTGAGCGTGCGCACACTACGTTGTCATCAGCGTACTGAAGCTCTATGATGGAAGTTACAGTAACCTTACTCTTTGCTTTCAGCCTGCTCAGATTGAAGAGCTTTCCATCTGTTCGATATATGATTTTCACCCCAGTGGGGAGCTTCCCTTCGACAAAGTGTAGGATCATGGCAATGAAAATAGTGAATAGAGTTGGGGCAATAACACAACCCTGTTTAACACCTGGTCCCACTGTGAATGGTTCACTTTGAGAGCCATTGTTATCTGCGATTGTTGCTGTCGTATTATCATGGAGGAGCCGAATGATGTTTACAAATTTATCTGGGCAGCCAATTTTCAGAAGGACAGTCCACAGGGCATCACGATTTACAGTGTCGAAAGCCTTAGTCAGGTAGATAATACAGGGATTGGTTTTGCTCTCTGCATTTTTCCTGAAGCTGTTGAGCGGTGAAAATCATGTCCACTATCCCCCTAGAAGGCCGAAAACCATTTTGGGATTCAGGAAGGGTCACCTCGGATATTGTTAAGAGACGGTTTGCTAAGATCCTTGCAAGAATTTTGCCAGCCGCAGCTAATAGAGACATGCCTCGATAGTTTCCGCAATCACACACACACGTACTATGAGACCTGCTGCCAGCAGTAAAAGATGCTCACACCCAGCCCGTGTGAGATTTGGTAGAAAGCAGACGTTTCACTTGATCTAGTTTGTGTGAGGCTTGCTCATGTTGCTGCTGCAGGAGAGTGCAATAGAACTAAGAAAAAATGGCTGACCGCTTTACAACGGTCACTCAGAGCTCTCCTTCTCTAACCCCACCAGGGACCAAAATACAAAGGGAAGAAACAGGGGAATAATTGCTTTCCTTGAATACCTTCCCTGCCCTCACCCCAAAGAAAATTCCAACTGTGGGAGAGGACAGGGCGCACAGACAACATTTTAAGAGAAGACACACAAGGAAACTAACAAGTAAAGAAATGACAAAACTCTCACAAAGTCTCAGTCTCACTAAGATTTTTTCGAACCTTAGAGGCAAAAAGACCTATCCCAATGAAGGCAGGTAATATCTAGAGGGTAGGATGATTCCTTCCTCAGAAAGAGAAGGCAAAGCTTCAAGACCTTGCTTGTCACAGCCATACATAGGATGTCATCCTATGTATAGACTGTCCTCCAACACAATCACGTTAATGTTCTCTCACTCTCAGGGCACTTCCAGACAGGTCTTTTATCCTTGTAAGGAAACTTGCCAATAGATAAGCTTACAAGTTAACATGAGCCTAAGGAGGTTTCCTCTGAGTTCAAAAGGATTCACTTAGTGCAGGGTTGTCCAATAGGTCAATCGTGATCTACTGGTCGATCGCGGGGTGTCCCTGGTCGATCCTGGAACCCCCATGAAAACGTCCCTCCCAAAAAACTTTGACTTCCTAAAAAAAGCTTAACAAACGGCTTTGGGTAGATCACGCAGACTCTTGGAAGTTGAACGCCGCTGACTTAGTGTAATCTTCTCCCTGTCCCCACCCCCCCAATTGTGAGTTATTTGCTCTATGACACCACTTTATACTTTTGTTTTAAAGGCTGATTGCTGTGCTAAACCTTTGCTCCTTTCCACAACAAAATCCACAGGGAGTGCTGCTGTCACAAAGAAGTGAATTCACTTTGACATACTGCCAGGGCACCTTACTAGTGCTATAGCACAAGAAAAGGGGAAGCATAAAGAAAAAAGAATTCCACAGAGCATGTGTGTACAGGATCTGAACAAAATTAATAATATGGGAGCTATATTATTACAATAAAATAATTATAATTTCCCCTTATATACTGCACTGGAAATGTATACAGTATATAGAAAGGGTCCCACAGCATGGTCTGTAGGTACATTTTGAAATAACCCCTTTGGGAAAAAATCAGGTTTGGGACTGATTGATGCCTGGAAACCTCATTGATTTCTATAACAGAAAAAGAGCAGAACATACGTTGATGTAAATACAGAATGGGAGATAATTCTCCCCTCTGATTAAAACAGAAGTGTAGTAATTGTCATATGATCCTTTTGTTTTGGCCTCAGTTACACAGCATTCATGAATTGCAAACTCTTGCAAGAAAGGTGTATGAGTACTTGAGCTGAAGCAGCAGTTTTTGCACGGATAGAGTTGATAATGCATCTAATAGCCAGAGGGAAGTCTATTTCAGCACATTAATGAGGTTATGCACAAAGAGAGCTTATTAGAACAGATAGATGTTTGTTACATTAGAAATATGACAACAGAACAAACTGTAACAGATGGGCTGCTGGAAGTTATGAGAATGATCATTCAACAAATATTAGGCAAAACGGAAAAGCAAATTTTCATCAGTATTATTAAATTTGCTAATTTTTTTATTTCATCTCACTTATTAGAAGACACATAAGGTATCCAACATTAGTGTCAGGACCAGCCCTGACAATTAGTCATACTCAGCATAGACACATTGAAATTAATTTCAGTGGATCTACTCTGAATAGAACTTAGGTGGCTACAACCCATAAAGACTGAAATATCTAACAATATTGTTTATTGGCTTCCAAATATCTCCCTCCTCTAAAAGGAAAAGAAAACTTTATTAGCATCGCTTTCTCAAAAAATCTTTCTGAAATTATGCAATGTTCATACAAATTTATATTGGAGACCTGCATCCGAACATTTACTTGTTATGCCTTCATATTTATTCAGAAAACATTCAGATTTCATCCTTGATTTCTAATTGTCTTTCTGTATTCAAAACACCACAAATGCATTACCTATTTCCTTTTATTTGGAAATGCATTACCTATTTCCTTTTTAAAAAATTTTTATTGGTGTGAGTGCGTGTGCACATGCATGTTTTAATCTTATAGCTTTCTATTCCTCTGCATTTTTTCTTCTCCACGCAGCTCACGTACATGATGAAATATTTTGCAAACTTGCCTGTCCCGATCTAAATTGAGTGTAGAGATATCCGCCCATTGCTAGTTACAACCATTAGCCAAGGGGAGAGCAGAGTAATCCGCCTAACTCCAAAATTAGTGGCCAACATAGTTCCTGTGACTCTCGCTCCATAAACTGTGCTCTGATCCAGCTACAATTGGTGGTATTGTTTTGTGGGATTCCCTGCCTCGTGTGCATTTTGATTTGTTTTATGGTTGAAAGTAAGAATTAGAACACACATCTCCAACTGCACTGTAATGCTCTTATTGTGTGGGGATATTTAAAGTGCAGTCAAACCAACAATTCATGTTTTTCTAGATAGGCATGTGATAGGAGCTGAGGCTCACAGAGTTTTCCTGTAAACCTGCCAAAGAGTTCTGTGAAAGACACTCTCACTGTGCCCTGATGGGGAGGGCATGGCTATATATTCTCCTACCTGCCCGGGCACACCATCTTATTCTTTCCATTTCTTTCTGCTCTGCCAGCAATGTGAGAACACCTGCTAAGTCTGAGAACTATGCCTAGACTACATCTTAAGCTAGACTTAAGTATGTCTTTGTAACTGAATTACCATTTTAAGCCTGCCTGAACAAAGCTGATGTATCTGTTGCTCCTCAACAAATATATTCTAAGTAAAAGTTATTACAAGACTGAGGTCCAGTGCTGAGGGCCTTCTGGCGGTTCCCTTGCTGCGAGAAGCCAAGCTACAGGGAACCAGGCAGAGGGCCTTCTCGGTAGTGGCGCCCGCCCTGTGGAACGCCCTCCCACCAGATGTCAAAGAGAAAAACAACTACCAGACTTTTAGAAGACATCTGAAGGCAGCCCTGTTTAGGGAAGTTTTAATGTTTAACAGACTATTGTATTTTAATATTTTGTTGGAAGCCGCCCAGTGTGGCTGGTGAAACCCAGCCAGATGGGCAGGGCATAAATAAATTGTTGTTGATGATGATGTTTTAAGGGGAAGAAAAGGGGGAAATACTAGAAGAATCCAGTGTGCCTTAAAGCATCCTGGGTTGCTTAAACTAAAAGGCTAAAACAAGCCTAAGCTGCCCTTTTAAGCAAAAGGATGGCACTCTGTTGAAGTCACAAACATAAGGAAGGAGGGATAATATCTAGCAAATATATCCTCTCCTAGCATGTAATCATATCCCAACATGTTAGTGTTGTTGTTTTTTTTAAAAAAATTACATGACAATGTACATCAATTTACCACCTAACGCACCGTTTGGTTACCTCAACTGTCTGCCTCCTATTCTTATCCTTCTCTCATGGCTCTGTTTCTCAGTTCTCTGTCTAATGTATCTTGCTTTTTTCAGAGCCTTCTCTGCTAGAGGCCTGTTCATTGGCTCCCATCTTTTAATTCTATTTCATATTTGATTTCCCAACACTAAGCTACCACACTAAATACTCAAATCTGGCCATTAACTCCCCTGGTCAATTTCTAGGTCAACTTCCCAGCCAACAGTTTTTCTTCTTGCACAACACCCCTGTTTCTGCTCCCACTTCCTGAATTGTATGACATTCCAGGTGCTCCTAGACCTTGAGTGAGTTTTTTCACAACCAAATTTCCCTCACTTAATCAAAACTGACCCGGTATGAAATGCAATGTAATAGTTATCTATAAATAATAGATAAAAGTTACTTATAAATAATTGAAGAATGCAAACAGTTGTGAATAAAAAGAATGGTTCAAATTAGTTATCTGACATAAGCGGGAACGGAAGAACGAGTGTGGAAAATTAATAGTTATTAAACTTCAAAGGATCATTTTAAAATAAGTTAAATCATCGTTTTACGTTATTTAAAGCTAAAGCTAACAAAACCTTTAAGTATGCAGGTACAAATTTTGCACTGAAATATTGAATAATACATTTTTATCTCTGAGTTTATTATTTTGGTTAGTTTTTCCAGAAATGCATCAAGGACATTATTCTGTGCATTATTTAAAGAAACTGAGTTTTGTTAAGTTTTAATACTTAGAATTTTTTAAAAATAAGCAAGTTAGTCTTGAAAGAAGATGTCCAACTTGTGGCTGACACAAAGTTTATTTTGTACAGTGGTGCCCCGCAAGACGAATGCCTCGCAAGACGAAAAACTCGCTAGACGAAAGGGTTTTCCGTTTTTTGAGTCGTTCCGCAAGACGAATTTCCCTATGGGCTTGCTTCGCAAGACGAAACGTCTTGCGAATTCTTGAGAGTTTGTTTCCTTTTTCTTAAAGCTGCTAAGCCATTAATAGCCGCTAAGCTGTTAATAGCCGCTAAGCCGTTAATAGCCGCTAAGCCGCTAATAGCCGTGCTTCGCAAGACGAAAAAACCGCAAGACGAAGAGACTCGCGGAACGGATTAATTTCGTCTTGCGAGGCACCACTGTAAGTACCCATATCCCTGTCAAGGTTTCCATAGGCTTGCAGTGTCCCTGGGCTTGTGTTAACTATGGATAATGACTAAATGGTTGGAGGTGCAGACAGCAATCAATCCTTTACCTGAAGTAAAGATAAAACTATTGATATATCTATATTGATCCTGAGAATGAAACTTACAAGCTCAGGAAAAGATATGGGTAAGGGGCAGTAAGGGCATTCTTCTTATTTAGGGCCAAGAGAATGGGAGCAAATGGATAATACAAGAAAAGAAGACTTACATTTGAGGAACATTTGAAGAGAAAAACTTAATCTTGTTCCTCAGTATTAGCAACTTTTCAAAAGTGGAAATGTATTTTCTGGATTATTATTTTTTAATCATCCTGTAACCTGATCTGAACCTTTCACATGGGGGTGGTGATGATCTAAATAAACTATAATTCATTCCAATCATTCTAACTGAAAATAATAAAGCTCTTACCAATGGAATAAGCAAGCTAATTAGATCCGTCAGGGGTTTGTTGATAAGCAGAAGGTCCTCAGCGGTTTGAGTGTCCCCTCCTGTGCCAGATTTCTGTGCCTTCATGAGAAAAAAGTATAATTAACCATAATATTAGAAAGAACACATCAAAAATATCACTACCACAGTCATTTCAGGATCAAGGGTTCCCTTGAAAAGCATTAATTTTTGAAAATAAATCTGTTTTTATTTGATTGGTATGTCCTTGAGTGAGTCAACTTTAGAAAGGGAAGAGTTGTTTGAGTATACACCACAAGTCTACTCCACAGTAACTTGGAACAGGGTTTTCATTGTGGCAGCCCCATTTGTGGAACAGCCTAGGACCTCCAAACACAATGCCCAGGATTGTACCTCAGGGAGATCACTTTGGTGTTGCAAACGCAGAGGTTTGACTTCACCTTGGAGGTACAATCCATTGTCTCTTCAGCCTGATGGGTGTCAACAGTACTTATCTAGAAATGTACTATTTTTCTGTCTCTGAAACATGCAAAATATATGAGGGTTCAAATCGTCTTGGATAAAGGGACTGGTAAAAATCAAAGAACCCATTATGGGTACTTACCACTTAAGCCAGAAAAACTTAAGCTTCAATTAACTCCCATGTAATTAATTAACCATTGTCAGTGGAACTGTGTAGACCGTGGGAAGGCAAACTAAGGCCTGGGGGCTGGATCTGGCCCAATCTAAATCCGGCCTGCGGACGGTCCGGGAATCAGCGTGTTTTTATATGAGTGGAATGTGTCCTTTTATTTAAAAGGCATCTCTGGGTTATTTGTGGGGCATAGGAATTCATTCATCCCCCCCCAAAAATATATATAGTCTGGCCCCCCACAACATCTGAGGGACAGTGGACCGACCCCCTGCTGGAAAAGTTTGCTGACCCCTGGTGTAGACATTCACTTATTAATCTATTCAACTTCATTTGTATATACAGTGGTGCTTCGCAAGATGAAATTAATCCGTTCCGTGAGTCTCTTCGTCTTGCAGTTTTTTCATCTTGCGAAGCACGGCTATTAGTGGCTTAGCGGCTATTAACAGCTTAGCGGCTTTAAGAAAAAGAAAACAAACTCGCAAGAACTCGCAAGACGTTTCGTCTTGCGAAGCAAGCCCATAGGGAAATTCGTCTTGCGGAACGACTCAAAAAACGGAAAACTCTTTCGTCTAGCGAGTTTTTCGTCTTGCGAGGCATTCGTCTTGCGGGGCACCACTGTATAGTGGGGAATTCAACCAGAACAATAGAAAATATACGCAATGACCCTCATTCTACCAGAAAACAGATTATATACCTGTAGTGTTAGGCGGACAATATTTGCAGTGTAGATCAGCATATGGTGCAAAATATCAAGCAAGGACAGAAGCAACGTATTTGCTGTCTTGATGTTGCTTTTATCATCTGCATCCAAGCAAAGGGCTGCAGTTTCTATTAGAAGATTACAGATGTGATGGACCAGACCTAAACAGACAAGCGTACAGAATGAATAAACACAGTATTTGCAAAGAAAATAGGTATATAGAAGAAAAAGGATATTAACCAGAATAATGTATTTCCATATAATCAATGATATTTATTATCTCATTATCCTTTATATAAAACTCAGGCTTTAAGGTGGGGCAGGGGAACAAGCAGCCTAGTATCAAATTGACAACTGAGAGAGTGGATTCCCACTAGGAAGTCATTCACACAGGGGTGACGACAGTAGGGCAGGGGGACAGTAAAGAATCATATTCATCTGTGCAATTGTGATTGTAACATAAAAAGAGAAGAGAAGTTGCATTGGTTTACAGCTGAGAGCTGAATGCATGCCCCTGAAAGAGTAGGGCAGGATACGATCATGGCTTTTTGAATTTTAAAAGACACTCTAGTTTTTGATACACATGAGTTTTCAGTGGCCTAGTAACAAATTTGATTCAATTTATTTTCAGATTGATATATTGATAGTAATATAAAAATATGTAAGTTGTTAGCATATATACAGTATATATATCTGCAGACATACGCATAGAATGTTGACCACCTATTTGGCAAAATATGGACCTAGGAAAAAATGCTTAGTTGGAATCTTCTCTCTTGTAACTTGAAGCCATGGGTTCATGTCCATTGTCTGGAGAAGGAGAAAACAGGCTTGCTCCTTCCTCTATGTCACAGCCCTTTAGGTATTTGAAGATGGCTATCATATCTCCTCTCAGTCTCCTCTCTTCCAGGCTAAACATATCCAACTCCCTCAACTGTTCCTCATAAGGCTTGGTTTCCAGACCCTTAATAATCTTGGTCATCCCCCTCTACACCCGTTCCAACTTGTCAATATCCTTCTTAAATTGTGGCACTCAGAATTGGACACAGTATTCCAGGTGTGATCTGACCAAGGCAGACTAGAGTGGTACTAGTTACAGATAGGTAGCCGTGTTGGTCTGCCATAGTCAAAACAAAAAAAATTCCTTCCAGTAGCACCTTAAAGACCAACTAAGTTAGTTCTTGGTATGAGCTTTCGTGTGCATGCACACTTCTTCAGATACACAGTGTATCTGAAGAAGTGTGCATGCACACGAAAGCTCATACCAAGAACTAACTTAGTTGGTCTTTAAGGTGCTACTGGAAGGAATTTTTTTTGTTTAGAGTGGTACTATTACTTCCCTTGATTGAGACACTAGCCTAGGCATAGGCAAACTCAGCCCTCCAGATGTTTTGGGACTACAACTCCCATCATCCCTAGCTAACAGGACCAGTGGTCAGGGATGATGGGGGTTGTAGTCCCAAAACATCTGGAGGGTCGTGTTTGCCTATGCCTGGATTAGCCTTCTGCTGATGCAGTTTAGAACAGCATTAGCTTTTTTTGTTGCTGCATCACACCGTTGATTAAGTTTGTGTTCCACTAAGACCCCAAGATCCTTTTCACATGTAATACTAGTTCCACTGAAATCAATGGACACGACTAACATGGTGCATTCATTTCAATAGGTCTACCTTGAGAAGAACTAATTTGGCTATGCTATCCTATGCTTGATTTTGCAATGCCTTCTCAATTATCCGGAACCATTGCTGATGTAAAGTCCACATTCATTAAGCCAAGACCAACCACAGACTAAAACCTCCCTCTATTGGTCTATTCACTGTAGTGAAACAGACATGTTGTGCTAGCATGAATGATATTAAAAACCATGGGAAAATATGCTGTTAAATTACTGCATATTTTTTAGTTGCAAACACACTACCCTTCTTAACTAACTATAAATTTGGAAAATAAATTTGCCAGTTGTTTTTCTTTTTACAATAAACCTGCTCTATGCACACATATTGAAAAAAGCTTAGGATCATTGTAAGTATCAGAAATGGAATAATTGTTTATCATTGTTAGAAGTTCACTATGATTAAACACAACATTTATAGGAAACCCAGTGGCTGCAGGTAGCATAATGAAGGTAAGTTGGGTGAACTTTACACAATGACATGCGATATGTCAACTTTAAGTTAGTAAAACTTTTTAGTAATAAAAATCAAGATGCCAGATGAGGAGGAAGCATTGCAAGACCATATGATTACTGAAAAAATAAATCAGCATCACTCTGCTCCCTTGGGCTCCACAGCGTGGAGGAATAACCCCAAGAAAGAATTATGCTGAAGAGCTTGAACATTTTTCTCTTTCTTAGACTGATTCCTTCAATCCAGCAATCCGAGAGTTAACTAGCTTACTGAATTTCCCGTAAGCAGATACTCCTGCAAACTTGTGACCTTCTAAAAGAAAATATAACACTAAAAACCAACTTCATTTATGGACACAGCTGCAGCCAGTGTCTTCTGGCTGCTACAAGCATTCATTTTGGCTTGGCAAGGCCCACTACTGAATGCAAAGGCAAACCAGGGCTTCCCAGAACAGCAAGCAAGAGGAGGGTTGGTTTTTTTCTGCAAAGATGAGTTTTCCTGCCAACATGGGGCAACTGAGATATTTGACTCTAGCAAATGATTCAATACGTTGTCATTAGAAACTGAGGAAGCCTCAAAAACCAAGCCTATCTTTATTTTACTGGACTGTGAGCAGAGCACCTGCTGAAGCATTAATAAGAATTCTCTGAGCTGGATGGCAACATTACACATATAAAACTTCCAGCAGAGAATCCATTGTGAGGCTCAAAATCAAATAAAATCCATATGCAGCTTAGCCCTTTTATACTACCTCCAGAAAACAGATAAGGCCTGCTTATATATATGGGAATAAAGATAATAAAGCTGAAGATTATAAAATTTGGTATCTAGAAGGCAAACTATTAACATTCAAAACATAAGCAAGGGGATCCCAAGTCATTAAATCAGCACATACTAATTTCACTATATATTTTTCAGGCAAATTCAGTTACTAGGTTTTGCGAAGTATTACATTCTTTTTAAAGGTGCAATATATATAATCAGAATCTCACTACAATCAGAGCTAAGTGCTCACAGGAAAAGACCATTAAAGACTCGCTGAGTACATAAATTTAGACCAAACACTGCAAAATGATTCATTAATTTATTAAAAACTCTGCTGATACGTTTCAGTATTTTATCATACTCGTTTCATAAAGTAGTTAAATAAGAAACATTACTTGAAGCCATTGTGCACTGGCAGGACATTCATAATCCATTCTTAAACATTTCTGTTATATAAATTTTATTATTTCCACAATGGGCCCATTTTTAATTTTTTTACATATTTGACATCCCCCCTACTTAAATCAAAATCTCAGCATTTAAATAAAATTGTTATTTGATTTCATTCTCTTTGTAGACTGCTTCTGTTAGCATTTAGAGTATGCAGCACAAATAACAGACTGTACATAGATATATTTAGGTGATGTCACCACTGCCTACAAAAAGAAACTGCAAAAACATAATTACATATCTGCACTACTCAAAACCTGTCATCAGTCAGTTTCTTTCTACAAAGCGAACATTCAGTAAGCCAAACTAAACAATCCAGCAGAAAGTGGTGCCTATCGAATAGAAATCTGCAAATGTGGACAGATGACCCTTTGCACTATGGTTTGCTCCCTATGCAAGGCCACTACAATTATGCTCTCTCACCACATCAAGTTGCGGTGTGCAACTCTGCTTGTCACTCTTTGCTATGGCAAGAGTGATGAAAGGAGCTTAGCCTTCTTCTCCAGCTCAGAGTTGGGCAGGTGGGAATTATCCTCTACAGCTGTGCTGAGCTTCAGAGGATGCAACACAACTTCAGGGAAGATCCCTGCTCCGTTCTGCAGCTCAAAGCTGGAGAAAAGGGCTTTGGTTTGCTGCTTTGCTTCGCAGCTGAGAAACTGAACGTTTCAGGGATGCCAAGCTGAATAAAATATTGGAAGGCCCAGATGAGCCCCGCCTTGCAAAATCGTTCACAAGACGCAGTGCATGCACGCCGTTTGAATAATAACAACAATAATAATAATAATAGTAAGGTAAAGGGACCCCTGACCATTAGGTCCAGTTGTGACCGACTCTGGGGTTGCGCACTCATCTTGCTTTATTGGCCAAGGGAGCCAGCGTACAGCTTCCGGGTCATGTGGCCAGCATGACTAAGCCGCTTCTGGCGAACCAGAGCAGCGCACGGAAACGCCGTTTACCTTCCCACCAGAGTGGTACCTATTTATCTACTTGCACTTTGACATGCTTTTGAACTGCTAGGTTGGCAGGAGCAGGGACCGAGCAAAGCGAGCTCACCCCGTCGCGGGGATTCGAACCGCCGACCTTCTGATCGGCAAGCCCTAGGCTCTGTGGTTTAACCCACAGCGCCACCCGTGTCCCTGCAATAACAACAACAACAACAACAACAACAACAACATATTATTTATACCCCGCCCATCTGACTGGGTTTCCCTAGCCACTCTGGGCAGCTTCCAGCAGAACACCAAAATACAATAACCTATTAAACATGAAAAGCTTCCCTAAATAATGCCCATCAACTTTGGGGGGGGACCTAGCCCCCTCAAATATTTTATGTGGGGGGGGGAGAGATCTTAGTCCCTAGGAGTTGGCTCCTATGCAGTGCTTCAGCAATACAAAGTCTAAATAACTTGTTTTTGTCCAGCTTTGACATTCATACAGTATTTTTCTTACACTGAAGTTGAGATACATATTTGTGCAAGTAGGCAGCAAATGGCAAGACACAGATGCTTACGGTACTGTGATACTGTTGCCGTTTTTTCAGTGCCAGCGATTTTCAGAAGCAGACATGTCCCTTTTGGCACGCTATAATGATTTTGCCTGCTACTTTTAGTGGGCTTGGAATTATTTTTATGTTTTCCTCTGGCAAAACAATAGAACCTTGACTCATGCAATGAAACAGGCTGGCAATTATACTGGGACAGATGATGAAGAAGAATCAGACCTTTATAACTTGCCTAATTAATTTATAGAATCTACTAAATTAATTAGGAGAACTGCTGGTTATTTATTTATTTAGAGATTTTGATGCTGCCCTTCACAAA